GGTTCGGACCCCGTACGGGACCCCGAACGCCCGTACGTACGGAGGTCTGCCCGGGGACCTCCGTACGTACGGGCTGGTGACCCTGTATATATACATCGAGTCGGTGAAACTCCGAGGAAACAGTTTGTCACAGCCCCTCGTTTGTTGCCCTCTTCTCCCTCTCTGCCTATGGTTTACCGTTCAGCTTTGTTTGACTATATACCTTTACATGTATATAGGGTGGCCAATTGAAAAGCAGGTGATGATGACAACGTGTTTGTTTATTATGGACGACAACAATGATACCGCCGTCCCCAGGAATAGAGTTCATTGTCACTATGACTGCATCTAGACTGAAAGTTGCTTCAAGTACAGTCATAACGACTGTGCCTTGTATTTGGGGGAAGCCTGTAGCGCAGATAAGGTTTGCTTGACCAGATTGGCATCCAAAACAATGGGACTCACTCCATTACACAACAGTCTACATGCATTTGGACACTTTCTGAACCAGTTGCATTCAGACGAGTCCAACATTTCAAATGTTTCCGGTTCAAAAAGCGTCCAAATGCAAGTGGAGTGCTCTGCAGTGGAGCGAGTTCAACGTATCATTCTGGAATGTCTATAGTGATATTGGTCAGAATGAAGCAGATAAAAAAAAGAAAAAAAAAAGAAAAAAAAGAAGAAGGGGAGCTTAATAGCTTATGCATTCCTGTCTTCCCCTCCCTTTTCATCCAATCCCGGTCCACTGCCATTAAACCAAAAAAAAAAAAAAAAAAGGGGTCCTCAAATCCATGGGACTTTGACTATCTGGGGTGTGGTGTGTGTGTGCCGTCTCATTTTTTTTTGTACACGTGCCATTTCTTTCTTCTTTTTGTTTTGTTTTGTCTTTTTGTAGTGTCTGAAGTACAAGACGGATCAACTTCAGGATGCGAGGAAGATGGAAAAGCTAAACAATCTCTTTCTCACTCTCATGTCGAGAGGAGTTGATGGTGGGTGCTCTCTCCCCCAAGCTCAGTGTCCCGTGCCATCTCCCGTCAGAATATTGGACCCTGCTCTCTCCCTTCCCTCCCTTCCCCTTTTTCATTCCTTTTTCACCGCCCTTCTATCACTTCAACAGTATTGTAAGCGTATTATTCAACTTTTAACGTAGGCTACCTGGGCTAACTGGCCGGGCATAGCACCTCTGCAGCTTGCCCAGCCTTTGGACGAATGAAAAGTTTGGGCCCTCGGCCGCCAAACGTATGTGATGTGTTTTCACTTTATTGCCTTTTCCGGCCTATACAGCAGTGTGGTTTCCCACCTCTACATACAGCACTCACTCCTACTACTACTACCACTATTTCTACTACACCTATTTCTATTACAACTGTTACTACTACTACAACCTACTGCTGCTGCTACTACTACTACTACTACTACTGCCGCTACTATACTACGACTACTACGACTACTGCTACTATGATACCACTGTCTTCACCCAAATAGAACAGACGTTCATTATGGCTGTATTAAATGAGTATTTGGACTGAAACTTGTGCCAGATACACAGGCATTCTACTCAGGCGAAGACGGCACCTTTTTTTCCTCTTCTTTATTTTTGTGCACGTGTCGTAAGTGTGTGTTTCACACACATACACACTTACGACACGTGCATGCTGAGAGAGGCAGAGCATGTGTGGGTGTGCAACACCAGTACATGCCCAGCCTTCCTCTCTCTCTCTCTCTCTCTCTCTCTCTCTCTCTCTCTCTCTCTCTCTCTCTCTCTCTCTCTCTTGCAGCATGCACGTACGCAGAGAGAGAGAGAATAAGAGAGAGAGAGAGAGAGAGAGAGAGAGAGAGAGAGAGAGAGAGAGAGAGAGAGAGAGAGAGAGAGAGAGAGAGAGAGAGAGAGAGAGGTGGGATGCACATGGGCACGTGTGCAGATGTCACGTGGCCCGCTTCTGTATGTCTCTGTCTCACACAAACACAAATAATATGCAGATGCACACCCCAAAGCCCCGGGGTGTGTGCATGTGTGTGTTTCGTTCTTTTTTTCCTTCCAGATCGGGCCATCTTTTTGTAGCCGTAGTTGGGCGGGCAGTGCACTACCTGCGCAACTAACCTCTACGGCGTAACGTTTCCCACCATTCCTTCCCTGTCGTTTGCCCCCTTCACCCTCTCCTACCCCCCTTCTACCCCTTCTATGGGTAATGACACCTCTGCTCCTACCCCTGTTGTACACACTAGCCCCCCCGGTTCGCGTTTCAGTGCATTGGTCAATGACCCATTTTCTCATTTCCTGTACAAGCTCAGGGGTGCAGAGTTCACAAGGAAACTGGGTGCTGTCATTTCTTGCGAGAGGCAGTTAAGGATGACACACTGATCGAGAAACCGTCCAAATTCAAATAAGAAAAGAAACAACGGTTATTAGTAATTAAGTACTGAAGGAGAGGGGGATGCTCCTATCGCCCCACACTGGCAGCCATGCCCACATTTCACACACAAAAAAAAACAAAAAAAACTGAAGGAGTTGTGGTAATTTGATTGGTGGACCTGTTTTTGGCTTAATCAGCGGGAGACATGGTGCTGGCGGAGCCCAAGTCGGGACCAGCGCCTCCGAAAAAAGGACGCGGAAGAAGACAATGATCACAATCTGGTGTACCTCAGAAGAACGGATGTGGAAGAAGATGAAAACAAGGGTATTTGTGCTTCCTCTGCTGCGATGTGGCGACGGCATACCTCAGATTATATCCTGGATGGTGGTGGGCATTGGCCAAGGGGGCTAGAAGAGGAGAATCTCCGACCAAGGCAGTGGTGGTTCTTGTTGGAGAGAGAACCGCCCTGTGTTTTGCAAATTGAATGAAAGCATGTGTTCAGAATTTTGGACTCACACACACATGACTCTCTGCGTGTGTGTGCGCGCACACATGTGCTGGCATGCTTGTGTGCGTGCGGGCAAGAGAGAGAGAGAGAGAGAGAGAGAGAGAGAGAGAGAGAGAGAGAGAGAGAGAGAGAGAGAGAGAGAGGCCTATGACGGAAGCATCACAAAGATCATGAGTGGCAATGTTCGATTGAGTGAGAAGGCTTCATGTTTTCTTTGCCAA